TTAGCGTAGCGAACGAGCTAACCTGAAGGCAAGTGAGCGCAGCGAACGAGCTCCAACCTAAAGGTGAGTGGGCGTAGCGAACGAACTTCAACCAGGACGTCATTGAGCCATGCGAACGAGCTCATCTTGAAAATGAACGAGCATGTGACATAAAACCACAATAGGACAGGACGACGTCTGTCGGGCCAGCTAGTTTCTTATATTATACCTAACCTGTATAGCAATGTAATGCTGAACGGTTAATAAATTGTAAAAAAAATAATAATTTCGATCATTATACTAATAGAATAATGTGGTTGCTGTGACTGAGATACACATAAACTAGGGTGGTCTGCCGTTACACTTTAGACGCATAAATGAGCGAAGCGTTATTTAAAGATTGTCAATGGCTAAAGCAGCTAACAACCTACAATATGTTCCCTTTCAACAGATTCACCGTTTGTTTGCCCGATATTATTTAAGTTCTAAAGAATGACAAATTTATCCGATAGTTCTTTTATTTAGTTAAGAATAAGAATAAGAATTGATAAAAAAAAAGGTTATTAGACATGTGTATTTGACATTTCGTTTAAACGGTCAAGAGCTTCTTTCTTCTTTGCCCAAGATCCGTGTCTGTTAATTGACATCAATCGGTCTAGTGAAAATAGTAGATCAAGAAGCAGGCCTTCAAATGTCTTAACTCTTGATAGGCCTACGTAGGACAAACCTAAGCCATATTCTGAAGATCCAATGTCCACAACAGCTTGGTCCACAGTTATACCTTGTGCTTTATGTATTTTTAATGCATACGCTACTTTGAGTTGAAATTGTTTCCTTACACAAGATAAGTTGTTTTTTTAACTTGCGCTTTTGATAACAATAGGTATTTCGCCTTCATTCATAGGTAACAGCTAATTCATGTTGGAATAGATTAGCTAACTGCCTATCATTATCAGCTTCTTCCGCCACTGCTTCATCTGGTTCTTCTTGTTCACGACGCCACTCTCTTACAATATTTGCATTATTGGTGCGACGACCAATATTACGACGTGGCCTTTGAGGCATGCTCAAAACAAATATAACAAAACTGTTACTTCCATTGATAAACTGTTACATTCCAACTTTAACCAAGGCCCCACTAGAAAAAATGTTTTTCTAGTGGGGCCTTGCTTTAACCTAGAATGAAAGTAAACATTGATAATGTAAACAAAACAGTTACAAACAATTAACATATGTTTATCTTATTTAAATGAAACTAGATAAACCCATATGTCATAAACCCAATATAATTTTTCTTTCAACTTACATTAAAATAACAAGCGAAATTGCGTGACCCGTAAAATAAAATCCAGAAGGAAATTTGCAAATATTTTTTTACCAAAACATTGTGTTCAGTATTCTTTAGCTGTTGGCCAAATTTCATATCAATTGGTCAAGCCATTACATTCTGATGCCCTTACAAAGAAGTTACAAAGTGAGGGAAAGTGAGCTTCGCTCGCTTCGCTCAATAAACAAAATGTTTTAAACAAAACACGACACCTACAGAAAACCGGACAGAACTGATGATAAAATTGGCTTCAGCTGTTCCATATAACGATGGAAAATCGACTAAGGGACTATGTTTTATCGTTTTATCATAGATGTAAAACATACTCCTGTTTTATCATTGACAAATAGAATAAAATATAGACTGTCAAAGGAAGGTTTCGGCGCCCTCCGCTAGGGGTGCCGTGTAGTTACGGCGCACACCGCTGCAGGCGAGGAGCACAGGAGCCGTGTGCGACCAGCAAACGCTGCAGCGGTGTGCGCCGTAAATGGTTTTATCTGTGCTTTAAATTAAACTGTTCCGTGGACAACTGGCATTGTGGTTATACGTAAAACATTTTTTAAGCTACCATCGCCTTATTTCACGTTTTAATTATGGATTGTCAGCGTGATCGGCATCAAGGTCCAGTAATAAATCTGCTACACTTTATTTCTCGAAGCAAGAAGCGGTCGAACTTAAAACCATAGATAAAACATAGTCCTTTAGTAGATTTCCCATCCTTATGGAACAGAGCTGAAGCCAATTTTATTGTTAGTTGTGTCCGGTTTTCTGTATAGCCATTGAGACAGTACCCCTACCTGGTTTTATAGGAATACCTAAATTAAAAGCAGTAGATTTGTTTATAAAACTTAGAGAGCTTCCCGTATCTATCAAAGCAGAGACAGATTTACCATTAACTAGGGCTTGTACTGTACTCTTTGTTAACCCACCGGGCGAAGCTGCTAGGTCAATAGAGTTCATTACTTCTTTAGATTTATCCAATTGCTTGGTTTGTAATTTTCCTGCCCTGCAGACCTTAGCAAAATGTCCCTGTTTACCACAGTTATGACAAATTGTATTTTTAGCTGGACATTTGACCCTAGGATGTCTTAAATTACCGCAAAAGAAACATTTTTCAGTCACAGTAGCTAGAGAACACTTTTCTAAACTGCTTGGAGTTGCATCAACTTGCTGCAATTATGATTGCTCGCTTGAGTATCTTGGGACGAAGTTGCATTTACTATAGATTGGAAAGATTGAAAAGCTAATGATTGCTCATGCAATGAATACACAAACTATATAGTTTGTGTATTCATTGGCTCATGTGCAAGTTCTAGGGATCTGGCTTGACTATATGCCTGAACTAGAGTCAACGAAACATTTTCTAGTAAGCGCTGGCGAATTGCAGAAGATTTTATTCCTGCAATAAATGTGTCACGGATATAATCATCCCTATTCTTTTCAGCTGTCACAGCTTTAAACTGTCAGTCTTTACTTAGTAATTTTAAAGCCTGGAGATATTGGTCAATAGTCTCCTCAGGTTGCTGCTGACGTGCAGATAGTTTATGTCTGGAATATATTTCATTTACAGGTTTTTACATAGATACTTCCATAGATAAAACATACTCCCTTAGTAGATTTCTCATCCTTATGGAACAGCTGAAGACAATTTTATTGTTAGTTCATGTATGGTTTATGTAGAGGTCGTGTTTTGTTTACAATTTGTTTCCCGTTATTACAGCCATTTAAAACCTTGTTTAACCAAATAATACGATCTAATCATAAACAATAACTTGTCCCCTAGTTATATAACCAAACAGTAAAGCAGAAATCAAGAAATTAACCCTAAAATAGTTGAAACAAAGTTACGTACCGCTTTCACTTATGTACTCGTCGATTTCCGGAGTAAAGTTTATAAGTATTTTGAGTTTTTCGGAGTCGGATGGTTGTGGTGTGATGCTGGTAACAAAATTCTGAAACGTTTTGTGCCAATGTGTCCATTCCTTACTTGCAGATGATGAGTTTGGATCTACACTAAACTTGTCTGGCTTTAGGATTGTATTCATTTCACAATATCAAGTTATTAAAATTGTAATGAGACTAAGAATGAATGATGAAAAATAACTTTTATCACCTTTAGAAAGGTTTTGGCTGCACTTTACTTGACGTCCTACACTCATTCGAATGAAAATATCGATCGATATATCGATTAATCGATTGCTTCATTCGATATATCGTTTGGTTGGTTAGGTAAGGTTAACCTAACATAACTAACCAAACGATATATCGAATGAAAATATCGAATCGAAAAAAAACAATCGAATGAGTGTAGGACGTCAAGTAAAGTGCAGCCAAGGTTTTTAATAACTTGAACAATACTACATTGAATTATAATGGATTTGTTTACAAACACAACAAAACAATAATAAAGAATTGAAGACACATGTTTTTTTACTACAACTTTCTTTAAAACTGCTTCTTGAGCTTGTTTTCTTTGAGCCAACCGCTTGCGGCTCCCGGTTCCACTATTTTTTTTATAATGCATGTTTCACTGTTTATAGGCCTACTTGTATCAACACTTCTTTATTTATTTATTACTGGTTCACTAACAGCAGTGTGAGTGTCAACACTGACTAGTGACTGTCACAGTTTAGGTTGTGTTGTGACTGATTTGACGACTGTGCAGCAGGCAAAACACAAAGCAAGCGCAACTGGTTTGCAACGACAGTTGTAAAACAGTCACACCGTGTGCGCTGGGCCTTAGGAGTGCTATTCCCGTCATATGCTGACGTCACCCAAATTGCAAACAAAAAATCAGCTCATGTATTGCCATATAAGTATATATTTGTTTTGATTTGATTGTTATTGTTTTAATATTTTTTCTCAATGGTAAAATGGTGTTTGCAATCTGAGTGACATCAGCATATGACGGGAAAAGCACTCCTAAGTAGTATTTTCCTTTCACCATGCAGGCCTCCCTGCCTCTGATTCTGATAGTATAGTGAGTGCGCCCGGTTCACACTGCTGCCTGCCTTTCCCTGACTACACGAGGAATAACCTGAAGGTCGAGTATTTTCAATTTTGTTCTACTTATTTACTTAATCACTTAACTACAAGTTGAAATCTCCCATTTTTTAAAATTTCGGCTGATAATGATAAAACCCTATTTTTCTAGTGCGGGCGGCGGTTCAGAACCAACCCAACCACCGACGCCCCTGGGCACATGCCCAGTCTGCCCGTTTATAAAAGTGGGACTGTCCAACACACTCGCAACACTTTCATGCTCATAATCATAATAAGTTTAACACTTGACTTTCAGTTTTCAAGCAGGTCAAGTCAATAATAAACAAACACCTTCACATACACAGTTCGCCACTGCAACTGTTGAAAGAAACTACTATCTTGGTCTAAGAAAGATACAGTGAAGCTAATAATAATAGCTGTTAAGCTGTTTCTGTTATCACAGGAAGTGCATGTGGAAGCAGAGTCGGAGTCGCCCGTGGGTACAGACACTAGAGACAGAACGTCCAACGTCGAGTTTCAATTATTTGTATTTCAATTCAATTCCGCTATTCCTTTTCCAGAGTCCAGACCCAGACAGACGACGACGAGTGACGACAAAACAAAGACAAAAGGACCTCAGATAGAATTCTCATTTTATTTTACTAATCCACCCGTATTCAAGTAATATCATAGTCATTTCTTCATAGTAAATATTAGTACTTAGGCCTAGTAGTATTTAACCCTTAATTACTAAAGTCCACCGGCCCCCTCTCCCTCTGTCATCATACGAGTTGTAGAAAGTAGGCTATCGTAATTATTGCATTATAGGCCTAGGCCTAGCCTAGGGCCTATACTTTTAAACCACAAATTCCGTGTTACTATACTAACACAACCTAACATAGCCACATAGGGTAACTTAGACATAGCCTAGTGCATTCTTTCGTAAGTATCTACAATTAATTCAATTCAATGTTATTGGCCCTAAGCCAAATCGCCTAGTTTAAGTTACTGTAAAACGGGGGTGACTTGAGGTCTGTGGGGCGACTTAAAACCATAAGCTAAAAAAAGTTTGAACTTTTTTGACTAGGTAAACTTACTAATAAATTGCTTTTAGGCCTACACTTACAACTTTTTTTGAAGCCTACCTTAGCTTCAATATGGTACAATATTATCTTCAACTGAAACAAAATTGAATGTAAAAAAAATCAAATTTAACTTAAGCTTTAAAAAAAAAAGTTTCCCGAAAATTTTAACTACTTTTTTCAGAACAATGACCCTGTGAAAGCTGTGGCATTTTTTTTCTCTTTTTTCAACTTTTTAAATTATATTATCAGCATAGTTTTATCTAAGTTATGATAGGATTGTCATAAACCTCTTCTTATCAAAACTCAACATAGGTACCGGTAGGCCTAAACTTACATAATTTTCCTGTCGTTGACGTGACTTTATGCCACAATGGCTGTACATGATACTTAGATGCCCTTCTTACAATAATTTTAGTTTCTGGGGAGGACTACAAAATAACTTTAATGTGGGTGAGTGACTGTCGTGAATTTAGCAGCTCTTTTCACCGGCGCTTTTTTGGGTTGCAACCGATATGGGTTGGTACGCCTGCGGACGCCACAAACGTGTTTTGCGGGGATGTCAGAAAAGCAATTAAATGACAATACGGTGCGAAATGATGTTTTTACATGTAGGCTATATAAATGACAATTAAACCTTGATAAAACGTGTACACACGTGCTGAACTAATTAATTTATTTATTGTATAGGCATATTTGAGGCAGTATTGTACATTATACGTAGCTATGGCTTAACAAAACGTGTTCAATTGAAACTCCTAACATAAAAAAGTGCATAATCTTTTTCCTAAGCATATCACATCAACTTTGAGCTATTTTAATGGTACAGCTTTCAGAATAATCAGTATGAGTACCTATCATTGAGGCAGTCCCGTAAATTACAAAACTATATAGCAAAATCTATGTGGTTGATACGAACTCACGTCAGGAAAAAGCGCACAATGTTTACCCTAAGCACATCACATCAACTTTGAGCTATTAGGCCTATAATGTCAACAGCGTGTAGAATAATAGGTATGAGTATGTGTTCTATTTCTTATTTAGATAAAAATTAAAAGATCAAAAGAAACTAAACTGTTTTTAATCAAGACACAAATACAAGACAATATTATTAAAGAAAGTAAATAAAAACATATGGTTAAATAATAATTAAATAACCATAGAGGTTGAACATCTTTCCCTTTGAGTTTTTTTTTTCTCAAAGTTTATTCAGGAAATCGTTTGGTTGGTCTTATAATTCTGCCTCTTAAAGATTTTTTAATTGCAGCTTCTTGATTGGGATTTGTTGATCGTGAAAAAGATTTACTGTAATCTCGGGGTGTTCTAGATGGAGTAGTATTTGCTTTTTCAGTAGTATTTGATCTAGGGACGAGTTGGGTTGAGTAACAGTAGTAAATGGTATGTATTTGCCAATAAAGTTAACCATGCAAAGTAACCTTTGTACACCCAAACTTTTGTCTCATCGACTTTGATTCCTGATTCGGATAGATGGTGACCTAAGTAGGTTAAGGAGGTTTGAGAGAACAAACATTTGTCTCTGTTTAAGGTGAAGCCTGCACGTTCAAGTTTGGTAAGTACTTCTTCTAAGAAATAGTCATGTTCTTGTTGAGTTTTCCCCCAAACAATTATATTGTCAAAAGTGCATTCATTTGACCTTTAAGGGTTCGATTCACGCATTCCTGGAATACTTCTGGTGCAGATGTTATTCCAAAGGGTAGTTTCAGAAATTTAAAGCGTCCAAACGGTGTCAGAAACGTTGTCAAATCTTGGGATTCTTCGTCCAACGTGATCTTCCAGAATCCATTATTAGCATCCAATTTAGAGTAGCATTTTGCTTCTGAGATTTGGGCAAGTGTTATGTCGATGGGTTGAATAGGATAGTATCTTCGTTTGACGCATCTGTTTAATTTAGTAAGATCCACACAGATGCGAACTTTGTTAGAGTCCTTCTTTGGTACAACAACCATTGGAGAGCACCAGTCTGTGGCATGGTGTACCTCAGCAATCACCCCCATTGACACCATTCTTTCAAGCTCTTCTTTAGTAGATTCCCAAAGAGGAAGAAGAATCCGACGAGGTGTGTTGATTGCAAATGGATTGGCGTTATTTTTCAGTTATACTTTGTATTTGACATCAATAGAACCTAAGCCTTCAAACAATTTAGGGTGTCTGTTATACCAGTCATTACAGGATGGTTGTATTTCATTGATTCGAGCAAGTAACTGCAAATTTTTTATTGCAGGTTTACCTAGAAGGGGTTGGGAAGTGCCCTTTGAAATATATATATAGTCTCATAACATGTTTTGTGATTATGGGATAGTTTGACTGTAGCAGTTCCCAAAATTGACAAAGCTTGACCATTTGCGCCGCTAAATGTTTTGGATGTGGGATTCAGTTTGATTTTCTTGTTCAATTTAATGTCGGAAGGCAAAATCGTTACGTCTGCTCCTGTATCAATTTTGAAAAGAACATCATCACTGTCGTTCATATTTAACACTACAGACCAAGGATCATCACGTACGGTTTTGTCAACAGAGCCAATTTGAGGGTCTATGTACTGAGAGCAAACATTTTCGGTGGGGTTTTAAAGGGGAGAATCATCATATTCAATTTGACTGACTTTGTTTGATTTACAAACATTTGGGAAATGACCGACTTTTTTACAAAACCCACATTTGTATTGTTTAGCTGGACAGTTGAATCTTTTGTGTAAAACTGTCGAGCCACACCAAAAACATCTCTTTTCGACATTGGACAGGCTTTTATTGTCATTAATTGGCTTAAAGTATCGATTATTGTTTGATTTATCAGGAGAAATGTTTGATTTACTTAAATGTTGAGTGTTTTTGTTTATTAATGCTATGTCAGCCAAGTTTAGTGTTTGTTTCTGTCTTGTTAGTTCTTCAGATCTACGGATAGTGTTAATAGCTGTGTTAAGTTTTAATTCTGGTTCAAGTTGAAGACAATCACTTAGTGATTCGCCCCGCATACCAATAATTAAAACCATCAGAATCATCTCCTCTTCAAACTGACCCCAATCACAGTTTTTTGCATGATTGTAAAGGTCTGTGATAAAGTTCTCAATCGGCATGGAACCCTGTTTAAGTTTTAGAAACCTAGCCCGTTCAAAAATTAGGTTCTTTTTTGGAAGGAAATGATCGTCAAACTTCTTTAGAACAACTTTGTAATTAGATTTGTCATTGTCATTTAACCTGCATGAGTTAAGTATATCCTCTCCCTTTTCCCCCATACAGTATATAAGCCTGTCAATCTGATGCTTACCAGAGTGTAGAGCTAAATTGCTAAGGGAATAATACCTCTCAAAGCGAGTCTTCCATGTCTTCCAGTCGTGAGGATTGAAGGAAAAGGCTTCAGGAGGCTTAATGTTCAGGGATATGGGTTCTTCATTCGACTGCGCCATGTTCTATTTCTTATTTAGATAAAAATTAAAAGATCGAAAGAAACTAAACTGTTTTTAATCAAGACACAAATACAAGACAATATTATTAAAGAAAGTAAATAAAAACATATGGTTAAATAATAATTAAATAACCATAGAGGTTGAACAGTATGATTGAGGCAGTCCCTTATAAATTACGAAATTATAAGGCCAAGTCTACATGGTTGATACTAACTCGCGTCAGGAAAAAGTGCACGATGTTTATCCTAAGCCCATCACATCGAATTTTATGAATTCTAATGGTATACAATGTGTAAAATAATTGGTTTGAGTATGATTGAGGCAGTCCCGTAAATTACGAAGCTATAAGGCCAAATATATATGGTTGATAGGAATTCGCATTAGGAAAAAGTGCACAATGTTTACCCTAAGCCCATCACATCAAATTTGAGCATTTATAATAGTAATATACAATGTGTATTGTGTAGAATAATCAGTAACTTATAAATATGATTGAGGCAGTCCCGTAAATTACAAAGCTGCAAGGCAAAATCTATATGGTTGATAGGAATTCGTGTCAGGATAAAGTGCAGAATCTTTTTCTCAAGCCCATCACATAAACTTTGAGCTAATATAATGTTAATATACAGCTTGCAGAATAATCAGTGTTAGTATGATTGAGGCAGTCCCGTAAATTACAAAGCTATATAGCAAAATCTATATGGTTGATAGGAATTTGCGTAAGGATAAAGTACACAATCTTATTCCCAAGCTTATCACATAAACTGTGAGCTATTATAATGGTATTTTACAGCTTGCAAAATAATTATAGTATGAGTATGATTGAGGCAGTCCCGTAAATTACGAAGCAATATAGCAAAATCTATATGGTTGATACGAACCCGCGACAGGAAAAAGTGCACAATGTTTACCCTAAGCAGTATGAGTATGATTGAGGCAGTCCCTTAAATTACGAAGCTATAAGGCCAAGTCTCTATGGTTGATACAAACTCACGTCAGGAAAAAGTGCACAATGTTTACCCTAAGCCCATCACATCAAATTTGAGGTATTCTAATTGTAAATGTGTAGAATAATCACTGTGAGTATGATTGAGGCAGTTCCGAAGCTATATGGCAAAATCTATATGGTTGATAGGAACTCGCATCAGGAAACAGTGCACAATATTTTTCCTAAGCCAACCACATAAACTTTGAGCTATTACAATGGTAATATACAATATTGTAAATTCTTGGCTAGCAGCTACAAAGGTCAAAGAGATGCCGCTGTCTCGGGTTTTCCTTAAGGGTTGGTTGTTAATAGGTGTTCGCACGGTGACACTATAGGGAGAGAAAGTAGGGACGGGGGCGAAACCATGTCGGTCAGTGCTAGATCAAAGCTGTAAGTCAGCCCCGTCAGCCCATGTATTTCATACTTTTTTTGTAGTCTCGGGGGGAAATTC